CATTACTGTAAGTACAAGTATTATTCATTTTCCTGCTCAAAAAGCTTGATCCACATGCAGGAATATTTTACACTTTTTGTTGAGAAACATTTTTTTGCAATCTGTCATTGCTCTAGTACACATGCCAATTATGCCTACCAAATTAGATAAGATTACCTCCCTATGTCTAGTATTTATTTCCTTTAGGTTCCCTACCCTTAATATTACCATTAATTTGCACTATCATAGTGCTTAGGAAGGCCAGTCATGCAGGACTGGCTCTAGGCACCAGCAAAGAAGCACATGCTTGGGGCGGCACAATTCCAGGGGCGGCATTCCGGCCATCCATTTTTTCGGAAAAATCCACCAATATACGAAAAAAATAATACGTCAAGATCAAAAAAATCTCCAGTAGTGCGATAGGAGCGTGACGTGAAAAATATGATGTCACATCATGACACGGTCACTCATAATGTGAACATGCGTAAATGTGTAAACGTTAATGGTTATTGATTAATTAAATCAAGAATCACAATTACTTGTGTGTACTGTGCCGCCCTATCAACGCCATTCACGCCAATTTCCATGTTGCGTCGGTGCCAGTGGTTATAGGGCTAAAATGCCGGGACAAAAACAAAAATGACTTTCCAGTGCTGCCTACCGGCAACAAAGAGAAAAACGGCAAAAAGAATTAGAAAAACTATCTCGTACTTCAAATAAGTATTTTTTAAATGTCGACATTACCGGTATCAGTGGCTTCTGGTGAGCGCAGTTTCTCAAAACTGAAATTACTAAAAAATTATTTGAGGTCCGCCATGTCTCAAAATTGTTTGTCAGGACTCACATTAATTTCAATTGAAGGTACCATTGCAAAAAAATTTGATTTCACTGAATTATTAAAAGACTATGCAAGTATAAAAACCAGAAAAATTCAGTTCATATAAATTCTTTTAATTTATGAGAAACTGGGCGCACCGGAAGACACTAACATTTTTCATTACAGTGTATAGTTGAACCCAAATTGTTTGCAATTGTGGTTTTGTTAAAATTAAATGAGTACACTAGTAGGAAATTGTTTTATTTCACTAACTACAAATTCTCGGTTTTCATTTTTTTACATTTTAAACAGTCAAAAAAAATGTGCAAAGTGCAAACATGTGTAAATGCCCCCCCCCCAAAAAGGGGGGGGGGAATGGCCAAATTTTTTTGCTTGGGGCAGCAAAAAACCTAGAGCCAGCCCTGCAGTCATGGACTAGGACCCCACTGTGCTAAGCGCTGTACAATCATAAAACAAAAAGATAGTCCCTGCCCCAAAGAATAAAGCAGCTTCAATTGATGTCAATGGGAGCTGCTGAGTGCTCCATTCTTTTGAAAACCAGGCTACCTATTTAGGCACTTAAGTTAGGGTTTAAGAACCTAAACTTTAATCATCCATTTTTGAAAATTATGCCAAGTACCTTGACTGCTGCAAATTCCAAGTTTCCCTGATGGCAAATATTTAGCTACCTATGACAATTGGCCACCTGCACAGAAAACCAAGGGTTGCCTTCTATTTGTAAGGCATTGGCCATTCACATTCTGAAAGCCTAGAGTGATTCTGTAATATGATTTTTAACAAATTAACAGCATGAACCCTCAAGTAAAGGGAAGTTGAAATGACCTTGTTTATGGTGGACACATGGATTATGAGCTCTGGGGATAACAAATCACTTACTGAAATCAGTTTATAGCTAGTAACCAGAGCAAGGAGGATTTGCATATAGAACAGTAACTGCAAATAGTGCACACTTAGCACAAAATATGCAAAGAATTGTTTATGGCGTTACAATTGTGTGGGGTACCTTAACTTTACACTTCCATCCTTTCAGAGATTTTTAAAAAGCAATGTGTAACTAGGACAGCCCACTCCAGAGTGCCCTCTTCCAGCAGGCCACAGCACAACAAGTGTGCATGCCTCAGTTTCTCCTTTACGGTCCCCAGAAATCATCCAAACAGTCATTCTTAGTGCAAATGGCCCTTGGGGGTTAATTTATTAAAAAAGAAAGCCCCATGCACATAAATGATGACAAGAGTCCCACAACCATAATCCAGAATTCCCCAGCATGGTCCAAATAATCCATGCCCCCAAAACCCCACCTCTCCAGCACAGCCCCGGCGCCCCTTGGCAATACCCCAGCTCTGTCTTCTCCTGTCATTATATCAGGACAGTCACCCTGGCCCATCCAGCTGGAGTACAACCCCACTTTTCCCAGTGGGGACCCCCACACCATTTCTGCTGGGCGCATCCCTCACTCCCCCAGTCCTCTCACAATTCCTCTGCATCCAGCTCCCCACCCCTGGAAATGTCGATGGATAAACTCCTCCTTTGCTTCCCTGCCTTCAACCTTCTCCAGTCCTTGGCTCCAGCTTTCCCACTTAGAGCCAGCAGGCATTTCCCTCCACTGCCGCTGCTGCCTTCAGCCCTCTCCAGCCCTGGCTCTCTGACTTGGGGACATCAGCCAGCAAACTCATCTTGCTGCTGTCCTGCCTTCAGCCTTCTCCCAAGAAACACTTTCTGCAGTCCCCTGGCAGTTCTTACCTGCCCTTCCTGACTGAACCAGTCTGTTCTGACTCACTGGGACCCTCTTCCCTTGCTTCCTTCAGGGATTTCCTCTCATTGGGCCTCTCCCTGGCCCTTTACAGACCCTACGTGCTGCCTGCCTGGCCCTGGGAGCACTTTCTCTGGCACGGGGCACTGGACTTTCTCAAAAGTTACTGATACATATTTACAACCTTAACTGCAGCTTAATGATATTTTGGTCTGGGAATTAAAGTATATTCAGCACTAGTTTCCAAAGTTCATACACTTACAGTATTGCTATTATTATATTTGTCTTTTGGTAGCATCTAGAGGCCACAGGCAGGGCCCCACTGAGCTATACACTGCACACAGATAACAAAAAAGTTAGACCCCGTCCCACCATTTACAATCTTAGCATAAGACAACAGTTGGACACAATAAACAAACAGAAGGGAGAGGAGAGGACAAGGTTACAGTGAAAAGATCACGGTCCCTCTTATAAACAACAGTCACAACACACGAAGGCCAAAATCCAGCCCCACTGAAGTCAATGGGAGCTCACTCCAAGTGCCTAGTCATCGTGAATGTTTTGTAGGAATCATGGCAGGAGTGAATTAAGGATAAGAACATTAAGAATTTACTTAGGGCTTCTGGTTTTCAGGTTTTATTAATTTCATTTTTCAGGATTCCTTTTTAACAATGTTTAGCAATGTCCAAAAATCCAGGGGGCGGGGGAAGGGTCATAGATTCATAGATTCTAGGACTGGAAGGGACCTCGAGAGGTCATCGAGTCCAGTCCCCTGCCCTCATGGCAGGACCAAATACTGTCTAGACCATCCCTGATAGACATTTATCTAACCTACTCTTAAATATCTCCAGAGATGGAGATTCCACAACCTCCCTAGGCAATTTATTCCAGTGTTTAACCACCCTGACAGTTAGGAACTTTTTCCTAATGTCCAACCTAAACCTCCCTTGTTGCAGTTTAAGCCCATTGCTTCTTGTTCTGGGCTGGGCTGTCTCTTTCTCCATACTGTAGTGAGTAATCCCTTTGTAATGTTCCCTAGTGTGCATTAGTAGAATACTGTTTCAAACAACAGTATGTTAAAGCACACTAGGGAACCGTTAGCACACACCAGCAGGTTCCACAAGGACCAATTAATGCACAACACATTAGTGCGTTTTAGAAATCACACCTCCGTCATTTACATTACTGTTCCGCGTAGACAAGCCCTTAGATACAAGTAACCATTTCCAGTGTTTATTGGAGAAACACCTCTTTTAAAAAAAATCAGGGGTGTTTTACTGGTGTTTATCGGTTAAAACCTAAAATCAGAAGCCCTAAATATACTCTACAAGTACCAAGTGTCTATTAAAACAAACGATTAAGTCTTCCAATAGATGTTACTGCCAATGCTACCTTCTTCCACCTTTCCTTTGCTCAGTAAGTGAACTGTATGTGGAGTGTTTCTGTGACAGGACTGTGATTTAATAAGATCACGTGGACACCATAGGATAAGAAAACATTAGCTGGCCTCTAAGCTGATATATTAGTGGAGAACACATGCTTTAACACTTCCGCATGGACGCTGAATCTGCAATCTGAAGGAGAGACTGTGGCCAGAGTTCTGCATGGTGTGCAAAGGGGTGGGATGGGAGGAGCACAAGAAGCTCTCCTTTTTATGCCCCCCAGGCAGGGGCCAGCCATAAATTCAGTCACACCACTCACCTGATGCTCCCCACTTGTGCCCCCACAGCAACTGGACAATTTGAAGGTCAAAATGAAGGTGAGGGAGTTGGCAGGGCTGTAGCCCCACCCCTTCCAAGCCAGCCAGCAGCGGTGGCGCTCTGTGCACAGTACCCTTTTAAGGGTGCTGAAGTGGGTGTGCTCCCCCTGTGCAGTAGGGAGCTCCAGGAGGTATCATGGGGCAGTGCCTCCCAGAGCTCCCACTGGGGTAGTGCAACTGTACAGCACCCCTACAACATGAAACTAGGCCAGACAGGCACAACTGCACTGTTAGCAGATAAAGATTACAGAGGTAAAGAATGGAGTGGGATGCACTCCTAACATGCTCTTGTAGATGGTTTGTGAGAGTAACTCCAGAAAACAGGCAGTGTTATATTGTGAACACAGGTAGGCTCAGTTCTATTGTAAGCTGCTGATTATTTTAAGAGACAGTCTACTGAAAAGGCAAACTCACGTCCTCATCAAATAACCTACATGAAATTATTAAAATTTGTAAGTCTGAAAGTGGCATAGATTATCTAGCCTATTGCACTACAGGTCTAAGGTCTGTTTCAGGTGGGCCTTCCTGTTGTTGTTAACAAGGCTCTCAGAAACTGTCTGGGGCACTTCAAAACAGCCAAAATGCATCTAGAGGAAGTCAGAATTACTGTAAGTATTAGGCTTCTATATCTATTACCGCCAGCTCCCCTCCCACCCTTTCATTCACATACCTACCAACACAGTTTTCTGTGCTGTTATTCCGGAGAGCAACACCACAGACTCTTGTTAGTTCCTCAATAACATCACAGCTCTGATGAACCCGTGTTTCATGTGCTGTAGCAGAATGGAATAGAACTGTGATAGCATCAGCGGAAATGCTGTTCTTTGATGACATTACAGTGAAATGAGTGACAAGGCATCACTGCAGAAAGGAGGCAGTGCCCTCTCTGCTTGTGGGCAGATTCCAGCATCTCCCAAAAAGGTAAGGATGGGTATACTTGGATCTTGGTGGGGCTATCGAGTTTATATACAGGAAAAGCATACCAATCTGTTTCCATCCCAGCTAGCTTGATCAAATATATTGTGGACATGTCTTGCCTTTTTAACACAATCACAGTGATCACTTGGTATCTCACAATAAACAAAGAATTATTTTTTTCTCATTCTCCAGCAACGATCACTATGCACACAAAGGACACTTCACCAGGAATCCAGCTTTCCACATTAGTCTTGGATTGGATTCCAGTTGTGCCATATGGATTCATAAAAATAGGACTGGGACAATGGATTAGTGTGCAGTGTTGTTGTAGCTGTGCTGGTCACAGGATATTAGAGAGATCAGATGGGTGAGGTAATATCTTTTATTGGACCAACTTTTGTTGGTGAGAGAGACAAGCTTTCAAGCTACATGGAGCTCTTCCTCAGGACTAGAGTGTCACAGCTATATACAAGGTTGAACAGATAAATTAGCATAAGTAGTTAGCACATATTCTAAGGGACTATTCAAGGTGAAGTGGCCCATTAGCACTCCTGTTCTCATAGGACAAAAAGGGGGGTTAGTAGGTTACAGATTGCTGTAATAAGCCATAAATCCAGTGTCTTTATTAAGACCATGATTCTTAGTGTCTAGCAAAGTTATGACGTTAAGCTCCAGGTTTGTCTTTTGAAAATCTTGTGCAGGTTTCCCTTGAGGAGGACTGATAGGTCAGATATAGAGTGATCGCTTAGGGTGACCAGATGTCCCGATTTTATAGGGACAGTCTTGATTTTTGGGTCTTTTTCTTATATAGGCTCCTATTACCCCCCACCCCCGTCCCGATTTTTCACACTTGCTGTCTGGTCACCCTATCGCTTTGTGAAAAGTGTTCGCCCCACATGATAGGGTGTTTTTGTCTTTTACCATTTTCCTATGTGAGTTCATTCAAGAGCATAGTGATTGTCTGGTTTCACCCACATAGTTGTTATTGGGGCACTTAGTGCATTGGATGAGGTACAGCACATGTTGTGATAGGCATGTGTAGAACCCATGGATATTGAAAGGTGTTTTGTGGGGGATATTGCTCATTGTAGCAGTGGAGATATGTCAGCAGGTTTTGCCTCTGTTTTTCTGGCAGGATCTGATGCCACTTTGAGTTGGTGTGTCCTGGCCTGTGGGGAGCTTGCTTGGGTGGAACTACTGTGTCTCTAAATAGGGCATAGCTGCAAGTGTCAAAAGGCCATATTAAACTTTAGGCTCTGGACTTCAGGGACCGAAGAGGGAGCCGCTGGCTGCCGTATAGTGCAGGTTCCAGTGGCTGTGTTAGAGACATGTGCTGTTTGAACACAAAGAATGTAATTGTTAAATCCAAGCTCTCCTTGTTTTAATTAGAAGAATGAACAACATCACTGAGAGCAGACCAAGCTATGAATATAGGCAGAAATATTATTTCTGGAAATACAAATATTTTGGTGCAAAATCTCCACTCCTGCCTGGCAAACTGAAACAAGTGAAATGCACAATTAAACAAATTCCCATTTGCTATAATGTTATGAATTCTAGGATGAATGTCTATAATAACCTGTATTAGCTATAAAGACATCGGAAGAGGAGGAAAATCTCAATGAGGGTTGGAAGAAAAGATCCAGTGGGGCAAACTGACACAATAAAGAGCTGTTACATTTTGGGCCTGTACAGAGGAAATATTTCAATAGATTTAATTTCATTTCAAGAAGATTTCAAGAGCCAGCACTGTGTAGCCTTTTATCAAGGGTTACCTTATCATAAGCATAAAGCTTCTTTTTTTAATATATCTTTTGAGCTTTTTCAAAGCAACCAATTTCCTTTGGAAATGCTTCCATTACAGCATATGCCATGCCCTGTGAAAAAGGGTTTACTCTTTGCTGCTGCTGCTGCCTATGGTGTCAAGAAAGAGCAATGCAAATATTCATGCTATTCAGAAAGAGGAGCTACAGAGCAGAGAATGGCTTCCTGGTTGCATAGTAACCATCCAAACCTAACTGCATATGCGCGCACAAACCCCCAAAGCCTTCTAATAATTTTTGGTATCATATTTCAAAGATTGATTAGGCAGTGTTTCATAACTGCCTGAACGGTACTATTAATTTGTCACTGTTATCAGTTCCTTTAAGGTACCATAGGTTTGGGTTTATATTAACCTGAGATCCTTTATCATACCATGCTCCATGTTAATGGAGTTCAGTTTAACATTCAAGGACTGTTTTGCCCACCTCTTTGCTATGGCCTTAGAATTCCATGCATCGATCATGAGAATGTTCGCCATTAAAAAAATCAACATTGCCAATGGAAATTACATCATTCATGCAGAGTCAGACTGTACCCCTATGTGTAGGGAGAAGGAAACCCCATGAGATCCCCTCAAAGAGCACTTTTCTCTTCATTTTTCAGGGTTGGCCCCTGCAGAAAAACGAAAAGGCCTGGGCCACAAATCTCTGTGCAGTGTCACTGTGCCTCACAACTTCAGACCCAGCTCCCCACAGCTCAGTTGGAGCCAGTCAGCCTAGGACATCCTTGACTGCAGCTGCCCAAGACCCCCATTCAAAAGGGGGATCCCCACCACGGAGGGGAAAGCAAAGGGGACCTTTAACTGTATTACACTTTGAGGGCAATTCTCTATTGCGAATATAGAGGGGAAGCCATGCACATCACCTTGACTACATCTCTGACCCACCCCTTCTCTCTTGAGCTACCTGCTGCAGTTTCCTACCCCATGTGGATCGCCATACCCAAAACCCCTCCATGGGGTCCAGTTGAAGGAGGGGTTTCTGCTTTTTATATGTGGTAGATGGGACATGCACTGAAAGGACTCTCCGCAGGTGAATCACAAGAGGACCATTTGGAGCACATTTATTTCCAACCTAAACACAAGAGAAGACTGTGGCAATCTCAGATACCCCTGTACAGTGACCATTGGCTAATGCTGACTTTCTAATTGCAGCTGCTGTACCACTGCAGGATGGGGGCTGACATTTTTTTTTTTTCATCTGGAAAGTGCTACTCCTAAAGTAGTGTTTCAAAAAAAAAAAAAAAATGATGCCCTTGTTTTATCAGGTTCCCTACGTACTACTTGCCAGAGGTAGATTTGAGACAAGCGTCAGATCATAGGGCTTTGTGCCAGCATGCATAAGAACACAAGGGCATTCCATCCAGCAGGTCCCTGGTAAACACATATGCCTTGTGCCATTAGTAAAATTCTTCACTGTACCAGTCTAAAATGGCAGTGATATTAAGCACAGACTTCCTGTTTTATGGCATTTCTCACATTCCTAGCTTTTGGGGGAGAAATGACCCTACCATATTATGTTTCAAAACATGATGCTAGAAGTCACTGCATGTTCAGTTTGCCGTAGCTTACTGTAGCTGTGCAGAGTTTAGCTAAGCTCTGCAATGACTTCTTGTAATTGAAGCTAAGTGAAGCAATTTTCAAGGAAAGCAAAACTGATGATGAATTTGGGCTTTTTGCCAGGTGTATAAAAAGGCAACTTAAAAAACAGGTTCTGTGTATCTTACTTTCACCAGTGAAACTAAACAAACCAAGCAAAAACAACCCCCTAAACGTTCCTGAAGGACAGAGTGCAATGTGTGTTTGCTGCAGCAAATCCTGATGACCTGCATTAAGTAATCACCCCAAGACAGGAACTGTCCAATTTGAAAAGAGGCGCTTGCTTTCATGTGTGAACCAAAAGAAGCAGAACAGAAATACGAAGGATATGATGTAAAGAGATGAATAGACTAAAATTAGCTAGCATGCTTACTTGTTCTGAAGTGTTTTTTAAGTTCTTTTCTTTGTTTTGTTGAGAAGTCAGCAGGGCACTGGTTGGTACGGAATTAGCACAGGGTAGAGGAGGGCAGCTATTATAGAGATTCTCTCTGTTTCTGGTTTTGGGGACCTCTTCCAAAGTGAAGTCCTGTATAAAATGGGAAACCAAGCATCAGCTAAACCTCAGGACTTAAAGTTTCCTTTGGGCCATTTCCGCTAACCAATGATCTGCAAATGGCATTTTAGGAGGTAACAAGAGGAAAGACTAACAGCCCAGGAAACTCTAGTAGAGGCTGGTTCAACTGAGATAACAAAGCCTTCAACAGTTCTTAGAGAGCTTGCACAGTAAGATCCTTATCATCCTGCTGCAAAATGAGAGCACATGCCTGATTTTGGAGGGTTACATTTCTATGTACTCTCTAATAAAATCAGAAGAGTGAGTACCCAATCACTGCCCACCCCAGGTTTTTTTCCCCTCAGCCTCCCAACATTTTTTTGCTTTGTGAAGACTATGCCAATTCCTCCCTTCTTCCCTGCAGCAGTATTGAATGTCCTCCTCTCCCGCATCTACTTTATTCCTTTTTCTTTGAACACTAGGAAAAATGGAAAGGTGATACGTCTCATCACCTACTGTCCATTTTCAGTTGTCTTACAATTGGGTGCTGCTCAAAATTTGCAAAATGTAAATGAAATGCATGAACCACAAGCAAAGCTTTTGTCAGAGGATGGGAAATTAATTAACTGTCTTTTGAGCCCCTGGCAAGAAGCACATGAACAGAACAGTATGTAAGAGTTCAGCTGGGCTGCAAACACAAAGCTGGATTATTTTCTCTACCGGGCCATTGTTGCTCTCAGCAGAGCTATTTATAGCGTGCACTGCAGTTCCCCCACATATGTCGGATTTTGCAACAGAAAATGGGGGAAAAAAAGTTTTATCATCAACATAGTTTAGTGTGATTTTCAATTCAGCATGAATCTTACAATAGAAAGGTTTTTTCCTAGGCAGAGGAATGAAGCAAAGCCAGGCACTTAGGAGGTGTTTCTGACGGAAGGATTTTGCTGTTTATGGGGACCCCATGTGTGTAAAGACCAACCTTCACTGTCCGTCATGATCCCA